ATATATATATATATATATATCACTGATCCTCACTAAAGTTTACGTTGTTTTAGTTAAAAGTAATCATATCCGAATTAGAGAATCATAATGGAGTGAATAGCCGAATCACTAATAATGCTTATTTAATAGACATTGTCTGATGATGTGGTAGATTCATTAAGCCTTCTTGTTGAACGAAGCAATCATCCCTGTTATATTCAACTTTTTTGAATAATGCGATCAGAAATCGCTTTTTGAATTATAATTGAAATACTGTTGGTTTGGAATTGTTTTCATGAATTTGTTCATTATTTCGACACAATGACAATTGCTTCTGTCTCGTTCGTTAAAAAAATTTGAATTTAGCAAGTCGTTGTGGTGACATTTCAAAAAATGGATGATATTCTTTATTCTGCCTCATATTTGATCTGTCAGTGCATTTCTGTCATGCTCATTGTAACAGATTTTATCATTATATTTCATTAAACGAATCGTTTGGTTTTAGGTAATGTTGACAGCGATGGAAGAGATCGACCCTCCGGTACAATTAGATGATCCATCAAATGAACCTAGTAAAGAATACCTTATAACGACCGCTTGCGCACCCGATTTTGACTTTCCTCAGGTATGTGATGTAGTTTATGAACGAGGGTGAAATGCTCATCAATTGATCTGAGTTATTGTAGATTTCACATAGTTTGTTAGGTTGATTCACGTATGTACGTACCATCGTTGGGTTTGCTTTATCAGTCGACAATTCATTGATGGTTGATTTCTGTTCGAATTGAACAGAATCCGGTTGATTGATTCCTTTATTTGATGACCAGGTAGTGCTTTCGTTATTTCTATGATGTAATTTTCATCAGATGTCGAGAAAATTCACCAATATTTTTTGCGTGATTGCTAATACTGGATTATGTTCTTGTTTCCGCTTTCAGTCGGTTTTTATTCAGCTTCATTGATTTGTTGAAATTTCTTTGAATCGGTTCAGTCAGTAAAAGAATGGAATAAAACTATTTAAGATGGCATCGCCACTGTTTCATGTTGGAATCTTGCGCGTTCCTCTCATCCAACTGCTTTGTCATCTGTCCATCTATCTTTTTTGTTAGTCCGGAATCGTATCGATTATAATAGTTGCCGTTCTCTAAGGGTAGTGATCATACTGATAAATAACTTTCTATTATTTTTGCGTAACTATCTCATTCATTCGAAATCAGTCGATCAAATAATTCCCAATCCATCTGGCCGTCTAATTTGTTGTTTCGTTTTTCGCTGAGAATTGAACTCGTGCAATTGTTGGAAATTATAACGATTATACATAATAGTGATTGGTAAAATGAAACGAGAGTGTCGCGACAAACTGTAAAAGTCGATTCTCCCAAATACTCTGAGCATTTGCCTAAGGTCTGAACATAAACCTGAACCTTATTCAAGCCAATAAAGCCAAATAATTTCTGTCATTGCTAAAACTGTACTGTTCTTTCATTGTCATATCGCGATTATCATTGTCGTCATCACGATCACAATAGTGAATATTATCGAGTCATTGACGTTTGCAATGAATTATTGAGCGTATTTTTTTCGATGGTTCTTGAATTGAAATTTAATCAGAATTTCTTTACGTAATTTTTCAGTTGAAATATTTATTGAGAAATATTTGCATTGGAAAAATTTGTTTAGTTGAAGTGTTTAAAATTGATTGAGTGGTTTTGCAGATATTTTACGATCATGTGGAGAAGTGCTGGGCTGATCGAGGTGTACAAAGTTGCTACGAGAGGAGTAATGAATATCAGTTAATAGACTGTGCTAAATAGTAAGTGACATTAATTGTTAAGTTTTTTTTGGAAATCATATTTGTTCACTCATATTCATTGATTTATTCGGCAACAGTTATGTTTTGCGCGTTGCAATTTTTCTTTTCCCCGTTCAGTTTTGGTTTAAGTTATCCATCGTCTTAATTTTTACTCATTCATTTCCTTCTGATGAAACGAGTGGTCGATCGTGAATGATAATCCAAATTCGTTCGCATTACACAGATTTCATTCAAGAAATATAACCCTAGAATTACGTTGAAATAAATAGGTAAATGAACGATGATGTTTTTGCTGTGAATTTTATCAGCTGTATTCATAGTTCCATCTTTACGCACTTGTCATTATGCCTTTTTTGGAAAGACGACAACGCATTCAATAGTTCGATTCATTTCGTTTCATCCTTAACAGAGGATGAATTTTTTTGTGTTTGAATTTTTTGATTCACTTCTTCTGGAATTGGTGACATCTCTGAGGAACTTTTCAAATAAAGAAAAGCTGTTGAAGAAGTTTCTGTTGTAATTATGAAATATTGTTGATGATTCTTGATTTGTTCTATGGTGCATATCTGATTGATTGTCAAAGGAGCTACATTCAACATGTGAAATGATAAATGATAAAAAAATCCTTCATTTCAGTTTTCTGGATAAAGTAGCCGATATTCGGCAAAACGATTATAACCCATCCGAACAGGTATATTGATTCGATTGATTTTTCATGTTCTATCTATCATTAATCAGTTATTATTATTTTCATCTGTTTACCTATTTTAACACTGTCATCAAACAAAAAACAAAAAATTGTTTGAAAAACCGGTAAATCAACGAAAAAACATCCTAATGAAGTGCACTTCTTGTTGTTGCTTATTGAATGCAACAATTCATTTCTGTCGGTTTCTTTGTTAGGTTGCTCGCGTACACATTTACGTTTCTGTTACTGAGTTCGTTATTATTGTTGATGTGAAATGCAAATTGCGCAAGTTTTATTTTTGGTTCGTGAAAGAGATCATTGTGGCTGGATTAGTTCAATTAAGTTCATCACTATCGCAGTGATCGTGCTCGATGATAAGGTGATCTTTCTAGTGATATGAATAATTGAACGAATTGTTGTGAGAGATTTGAATGCGTTCTTCATTCATTTGTTCTTTGATTCACTTATTGTTTTTTTTTNTTTTTTTTTGAGTGTTTATCCACACTAGTCGTAGAAATGAAAGAGAGTTCAAAATCATTTTTTCATTCCTCTTTTGTTGTCCTTATCATTCTCTTTTATCGGAGAAGCAGTCCACACTGGAGTTCGTGAAAGTCACGAGTTCATTAACGTTCATCATTCTTGTTTTTTTTCTTTATTGTGACCACTTTGGTTGGTTAGTAGCTCACTGATTTGTTGTTGCTTTCAACAATATTAATTTCATTCATTTTTTAATCCACTTTTTCTCCATCCGTCCATCTAGTGTCGTCTGACATTTGCTCACTACCTCACTGTGTTTTTCACAAACGTTTTTTATCTTACTTAAATGACATTTCGATTTCTACGTTTTTTGTTCTTGCTGCTGAAGAAATGAGATACTATTTTCAATTTTGTATTATTCAACCAAATCTTGCTGAACTGTAATTGGATGAATTGTTGTTGTTATTGAGCAAATCGTAAATGATAAGTGCACTTCGGAATGCGGGTGGGGAGACGACGGATTCGAAAAATTTTCAAATTACTTAACAAAACTTTCAATGCAAAACTTTTAGCTTTTTAGCGCCCTTTTTTTGTAAATTACACAGTGACAGTTTTTTCTCTCATGTACACTTTTTGTTCATTTATGAATGTCACTTCTCATTGATTAGTCACTTTCTAATTGCAAATTTGCGGTGCGGTGTTGTGCAGAAAGTTACTTTCGAATCCACGGACGAGTTATGTTGCAAGATGGTTTTCGTCAAACATTTATGCTATTATTATCATTATCAATATCATAAAAACTCTTCGATGAACTTTTCAAACATTTTTAGGATATTTTACGCTGTCGTGTTATGACAACTGGAATTTTTGAAACAAAATTCGAAGTCGATAAAGTGCGATTTCAGTGAGTTGTTATTTTTTATTTGTTATTGTTGTTCACCACATTACTATCATCAGCTCCGTTATCATTGCTCGTAAATGTCATTTGAATGACCATCTTTTAAAAATGGTATTATTATCGTAATGAATTTGTGATTCGTGACAGTTTTACTGTTATCACCATCAATCGTGGCTTCGTTCATTAACAAAAATCATTGGCTTCCTTCGTTCAAAAGTCTGTTGTCGTCTGTTTCATCATGGTGTGCAGTGAATAGCAATAATCTTAGATCACATTTGATTTCTGGTTGGTGACTGTTGCTGCATGGCTGCCTCTATCTATGTAACCGACTATGCATCTGTTCGATTCCATTTTATTGTTGTTTGAACTGATATGGTAGTGCTTAAGTGATGAATTTGAAGTTTTCAAGGTGTGCACCTTTCTAGAAACATTTCCAACAGCACATCATCAACATTTTTTCATAATTAGCAAAATGACGTAGATTTTTGATGTTTATTATTAACAATATTGTTAATAAATAATAGCAATATTGTTAAACATTATTTAACAATATTCTTATCCTTAGACAGAGGCCAAATCATAACCCGGTTGAGGCGCGGTAACATCAGTAACATAGATACTCCACTCGATTCCGGGCGAAATTCGCGGGTTCGATTGCCGTTCGCGGGGGGGAGGGGAGTTTTGCCCGACATCGAATGATGTCCAATGTCAGTAGTGCTGTCGTTATCATCATTGTGCTATAACAGTGAACTTCGTCTGTATCTGTGTGCATAGCAAATAGCAGGCGAGTTGTGAGCTTTATCTAAAGCTTTTACGGGTGGTTCGATCGAACCTATGGGCTGGATTGGGTGCTGGTTAAAGCGCTCGGCCGGCCCGCCACGTCATTCAGCAGTGATCGTCAATCGATCTTTCGATGTTTGTTGTAGCGTTTATGAGTTTGATGATGATGCTAAAAATAGACTTTCAATGAATTGATATAGCTTAAAATAACAATATAGCACAGACGAACACGTACACGCAGACATTATCAAGCATATACACAAGTGCAAACAAGCATACACCACATGAAGCTGTTAGCTGTATTATTCAGTGCTGCTGTGCTGTGCTGCTTGCTTATCAGAAAAAGAAGCACTTTCGAATCGATTACTTTGAATCATAAAATTATTCATTCTTGAACGCACTACGACATTATTTGACTGGTTGGAGATGGCACTGCTTGAAGACGACATGTATCTGTGAGTGCAGTTGATTTTGGAATGAAGTGAAGTGCGACGTTGGAATGAATAATCACATTCATTCACTGATAAAATAAAGGTGATATTAACACGCGTCAATTCTGATCACTCTTTAGAACTATGATCATTATTATTGAAATAGGGAACGATCACTGCTGTATTTTGATTGCATAAAACAGCTCATATTGTTGCGTTTATACAAAACTTAGAAAAAAGCACAATGCTGTTATGCAGCGGTATTCAGACGATATGCTTATGCGCAATAAAGTGTGTGAGGATAATAATAGTAATCTGATCATTACATGCGTGTTAACTAAATGCATGAAGGAATAATGAAGAACACTTCTTGGATGTTCATCACAGTGTTATGGTATGATGCGAATGCGGTCTATTCATAAAGATCGAATAATTTCCACAAAAAAATCGGTTTGATGCTTGTAGAAGATCGATTTTGATGGTTTGCATGCTATTCGTTCGAGTCACAGCAAAGAAATGTTTCAGCAGGAATTTAACGAAAAGTGAAACGAAAATTATTATCCGCCGCAAAAACTTATATTTGTAATGCATAATTGCTCGACTAATCCTGTAGCAAGTGAACTTACGACTGAAGATGATAGCATAAAGTTGGTTTTTCTCCACCAAATATAACTGCTTTAGTACAACCAATGAATCAAAACATTAGAGCGTATCTAAGGCAACATCATCGAAATGTGCGTATGAATCAGTGATGCAGGATGATGACCGAAGCGAATCAGTTCAAGAATTTTTGAAAAAACGGATGAAAAGTATCCGGCAAACGACTGATACTGAAGAACAAGAGAACCGTGAGGAGAAATATGCTCTGTGTTTGCTAACATTAAGATGTAGTTCAATGTCAGCATTACAGAAGAGGAAAAATGAAGATTATTTTTTCCAAAAACCACATTCAGTTGAGGTGTTTGATTGCGTTCAGGCTGCATAAGGCAGTTGGTAGGTTGCAGGTAAGCGGGTTCTTCGTTCAACCCTCTGAACAGCATGCGTGTAGGGTTCTTCGAATGATTCTCATTGTCTGAATGGACTAAGAAACCTGAAGGTTTGGATGTGAGAGGATAGTCCGAATCTTATCAGTAGAGAGAGAAAGAGATCAAGCTTAGATGAACAAGGGTATCCGATTGTTATCGAGTATTGCATGTTGCATGTTTAAAATTTTTACGAGAAATACTTAATTTAAGCAAAACCTGTTTGATCCGATGAAGAAATAATTTACTATTCAGTTTCCTATTCGAACAGTTATTCTTTTCGCTGGTAATAATACAAATTATTCACTGATTTTTAGCGCATAATCCTGTGCGAGGTGTTGATGCGTCTTTAATAGAACTCTTCATGTTCACGAATGCTTTCATAACCGTAAAGTTGAACGTGCATATGAATATGAATGACCAATAAAATAATGCTGTACCGATTCACGGTTCCTCCTCAGAAGTAATACTGACGGAACCGAATCCTCAGTTTGATCAATCTTATCCTTCTTCTTTCATTTGCCCACACAGCGATCTTTGTCAAGCCGAAATAATAATGGGAAAGCCGAATCCATAGATCCCCGCGTTATATGTGAAGTCTTTACGGCTTAGATGTCGCCTCTCCATTCAGCACGACTCAGCTAGCAGTGTGTTTTCGTGATACATCGAGAGGTCGGACTATCCAGCATCCCAGAGAGATCCCTTTGACTCGATGCTTGTTTTATCTCGCGCCGTTCTGCTGGGGCGCTCTCATGTCACATTGGGCATTGTTATGTCGGCAATCTGTTCATAAATACGCATTCATAAGATGGTGCGTCCTGTTTTGTTGTGCGCAATGGCAAAATCATAGGCAAATATGTTCATTTAATTCTGGAGTGATGATATAATAAGAGTTGTGTTCAATGAGTTGATGTATCCAATGATAATGTTCACGAATATACTTATTTTTATAGTATGTTCGATGTGGGAGGCCAAAGGGATGAGCGTCGCAAATGGATTCAGTGTTTTAACGACGTAACAGCGATCATTTTTGTATGCGCCAGTTCATCGTACAATCTAGTTTTGTGGGAAGATGCCACTCAGAATCGTTTAAAAGAGTCACTGGCACTCTTCAAGAACATTTGGAATAATCGTTGGCTGAAGACTATTTCTGTTATCCTCTTCTTAAACAAACAGGTTGGTTTCTTGCCTTCTTCTTTCATTAGCATTTATTCGTTGTTTTTCTGCGTAAATTGTTCTGTGGAACAGAACTCGAAATTTGTATAACACGAGTGAATTAATGTGTTCGTTTGATATTTTGCGAGGATTACAGGATTTATTGGAGGAAAAAATAAAATCAAAACGACATCTCCTTGAAACATACTTTCCCGAATTTGCAAATTATCAGCTGCCAGCTGACGCCACATACGATGCATCTGATGATCCGGCAGTTGTCAGGGCCAAATATTTCATTCGAGGCGAATTTTTGGCAAGTTATTTGACTAGTATTAATGGTTTATTGCTGGGGGTTTTTTTGTCACAAAAACTTGATAGTGATGGATACGACAATAATATGAAATAATTAGTTGCAAATATGGATTGGACTGCCAAGTGGTTGTATCCATTCAAGTAGTTTTGAAAGGAATCGATGAAAGCGGAATGTTTTGTTGATATTGAACGTACGTTTTAACCGTTCACTGATTTGACGTTGTTCTTGAAGTGCATAGTGTGTAGTGGTCGTTTGAATAGCTTTGATGAAGTAATTGTGGCTGCCTGCTCAATTGCTACCATTCAATGAGCGTCGAATTCATAATTCATTCTTGTAATCATCACATCTGACAAGCAATCAACAGTTGTCGTCCAACAACCTATTAGCACCTGTAGCGTTCATTCAGCAATCACATAGACAGGTGCATATGCAGATGGAAAGCGGAATGAATGCAAAAGAAGCGACTGTTTGATTTATCTAGGTTGTTTCATCAGATATTGATTTACAATCAGTTATTGAATTTGAGCGAAGTTCAGTGAAGAAAAAAAAACACTTAACGATATGAATAAATCAAAGGAACAAACAGCACCAGTAATACTCAAAATGATACTGATAAGAGTAATAACATTCAGCACACATCAGATACGTGCAAATAATGTAACGTCACTTGCACACGTGATACTAATCAAATCGAATCAAATAATGATATGGTGGGTCAGATTAAGACAAATACTCAGTAGATTATCATAATATCATACCAGTTAAGGTCATAGGCATTTTATCATTTCAATAACTGCTGTGATCTTAACTGAAACAATAAGAATAAAACATGTTGCGAATTGCATCATCAGTATACGAGAAGAGCGAGTACAATGTCAAAGAACATGAGTTATCAAAGCAAAAAGAAAACAGCAGTTAGCAGGTTTGAATTCAAGAAATAAGATTCAGCCTAGAATAACAAAAATAGGTAAGCAAAGTGCCGAGAATCTAGTAATAAAGCTGATGTTGACTCGAAACAATTAAATCAGATCATCCAGATAACAAGCAGCAAACTTAGAAAACAATTGAGTAACCAGCAAATGAGGTGGATTTGATACTTATAGTTGTTTGAAGATGCCATAGCGATTGATTCAACTGGAAGTTGAATAGATAAGATGCGGTTATACTCATAAAATTGGATATATGCTAATGAAGGACTGAATATAAAATTTCAGAGAATTTCAACAGCTGCTGGTGATGGTCGACACCACTGTTATCCACATTTTACGTGTGCAGTGGACACGGAGAACATCCGTCGGGTGTTCAATGACTGCAGGGACATAATACAACGTATTCATCTGCGTCAATACGAACTCTTGTAGGTGGATGGATTATTATTATTCGAGGCGCCGAGGGTCGAGACGTGTCGCCAGAATCGAGACGCCAATCGCGTCTTCTGCACAAAGCACACAAACGCCGGTCGACGACTTTCGCGGCGCACTGCCACTATGCGCGGCACGCATCTCACGCCCTCCACGCACCCGACCCTAGCCGACCCGACCCATCCGACGGTCGGTCGGTCCCTTTCTTCTGCTCATCATAAATGCTTTAAACGCCATCGCCCCGCGGGCACTAACCACTATAATAAGCACAAACGTTCTCGTTGTTCAACAATGAGTGTTGTCGCTGTAAACGCTAGCGGTTTGCTTTCTGATGCACAACTCCTTTACTTCATCGGAATGTTTATTCGAATCGCAGTAAGCATTTATCATTATACAAAAAGATATTCAGTGCATTTAAGTGAAAGGAGTTGTGTCTCAGAGGTATAACACTGATAGATGCAACACGATGATGTTCGTTCTTCGTCTACGCTAAACACGGGTGGCCAAAAACGAATCATGCCAAGAGGCGAGTGGGAGACTGTTATGTCGTAAATAAATAGATGAGATAATATTGTTCATAAGTCATAATAACCAATCAATCATATCAATAATCATGCTGTTGACTAGTCATTGATATATATTTATTCATCACTACTAAATCGGGTTGTTCTTAAGGCAGTTCATTAGAAGTTGAGCGCTGGGCTAGTGTAGAGTCATAACTGCGAGAGGCAAATAGACTCACAAGATGAGTAAGGAATGTCGAAAGTTGCATTTCAGTGCCGACTGGGAATGGCACACCCTGTATATGTCCTACTATGGGATTACTCACTGACATACGCGCCCAACACGTCTTACCGCGATCACGCGAAATATTCAACTCCCAGTTGCTCACTCCTTGCCCATCAGGCACATTCTTGAATAAAAGTCCATCGTACAATTTATCGTTTGTTTTCTCGTTCTCCTCCTTCCACCTCCGCTCAGCTGCAAACGTTTTGGAATAAGAATATTATTATATGTGAAATTATTATTATTATCATTATTATCATGTTTTGTATCATTAAATATTGCTTTTGAGATTGTGATGATCGATGTTAATATTTGGATAAAACTGCTTTCTGAAACAAACCGATTTCAGTTGCTGTTTCATATTTGCATTGAGCTGTTGTTGCACTAGGTTCGCTGCAATCAGCTGAAGAAGAAGAATGAGCTCGAGCCGTGTTCTGAATGCGAATGTTTTGGTAGTGCAGCCGTGAACGACGACATATCCTCTTCAAGTTGAATCGTTCTCGTAACCTCGTCGTCGCTTCACTCATCGCACGTAAACGCACCAAATCAGACTCATTACTTTGCTCTTTTTGCCGTAGCGTCCTCCACCCATTCCTCATCAAAAATGTCCTGCAATATTCTTCGTTTTCGAAAGCGATTAGTAACGATGGAAATCACATATGTCCCCTTTTTGTTCGTTGACGCAACAATGAAATGTGTTAGTATTTGCATTCAGTTCAGCGCTCTGCGTTTATATAGTAAGAGATGGTTGCTTCGTACTGATTTGAATGAGGTATGCTAGGCTGAAATAAAGCAAAAACACCGGTGAATCGGACATCCATTAATGTTGTCGCGCTCATCAAAAAGTTGCGAACGAGTGCGATAAGAGGGAATAACTCAGTTTATGTTAAGCACGTTTAGAGGAAAATTGCCGAGAAAACGTTCCCCCGCGTAATGATCAATTTCTTTGCTGCATTCAGATTGTTGTAAACGAATCACCGGATAATTTATGGATCGTCATCGTTTCTATTCATTTGTTTTCGATGACTGAATTAGTTGATAACATCACTCAGTGTTACAAGATGAAAGATTTTATTATTAATATTGGTACTGTAAAGAGTTTCAAGAAAGAAATGAAATTCTTCATTGAGTTCATCGCAACAAAAACCGAGACAAACCAGATAACATGCAATAACCTTGCTAGGTAAAAGCAAACGATCAACATAATGCTATTACTGCTCATTTTTGCCAACAAAAATGAGATCTGAACTGGTAAAAAACGAATGGCGAAAGACTGATGGGGCGAGAAATAGCGGCAACATTCATGCCTTGTTACTTCCTCATGAGGGCTCCAGAAAGCGCGTCGTTTGGCGGGCGGAGGACCGACCGATCGCCAGTACTCATTAACAGCTTTGATTCGTGCTTCTTCATTGTCCACTGATTCACTGATCAACTGCTCATCACAGAAGAGCGTTCGCATTGACGGATGCAGCCATTGAATACGATTCTGCCACCACAACGGAATACATCCCTACGATTTAATGTTCGATCAGTCAAGCTCATATCTGAATCTGTATTCCTTTTGATTCTGATCACGACTACTACTGAAATAAATACCCAAATGCATGTAACACACGATCTGTCAGTACCGCTCTAGTAACTTCGGTTATGAAAGTTTCACCAACACCACCAACAAACTAGTTGGTGAACGCTACAAATTTATGAACTCATCAGATAAATGCACAAAAATCGATTGTTCATGCATTATTCGCATGAGCATTTGCAAATTCCGATTCTTTCTGCTACGTGTAAAACTTTTATGCGACAAATGATTTGCGAGGGAACTAACCTGATGAAACAGACAAACTTTTGAGTTCTCGAGTATATCGATCAGAAAAGAGGGTATCTCACCAAAACTGAATGATTGCAAAAGACTTGCAGCAATTTCACCACGGAGACAAAATTCTATTTCACGTTTTTCCGGATCCGGCACAAATAAATGCATGCACAAATCAGGTTTGGTTTCCAGTTCCAAACGGAGCATGCTCGATGACGGTCCCTCTTCATTATGCGTCGTCAATTTTTCACTAGCGTCATTCATAACTGAAATTTTTAACAAATTCAACACGTCCAATATCGCATTTCCGATGTAATACACTCATGATCGAGTAACACCACCAACCAACTTTGCATTCACATAGCCATCTCATGATACAATACCATATCAAAAAAACGTCTTCAATAAAGTGATGATACGATGTCAAACAGTTGATGGGAATCAAAAGGTACTTCTCGTGTGGACAAATCAAGCGAATCAGCTTTGGCTTATCAGTTGTTCTGATTGTTATTTTAAAAAATTTCTTCACCGAATTTAAATTTCTCAATAACGTACCTACCATACAATACAACATCATATCAAACAAAACGTCTTCAATAGGGTGATAAATCATCACCAGTAAACGTTCTAAGCGGACTGGAAACAACGCATAGCCGTCTCATGATTCAAATTGCTAATTGATAGTAGGTTACAAATTGATAACAGTACCAACTGGGAGCAAAAACGCAATCCGCAAGCGGTGAGGTCCTACTTACAAACTACCTCTTCACTCTTCACCCGATATCGTCAATATGGTAAAGATAAAGATACATTTCTCATCAAGTAAACGACTGCAAAAGAGTTAAGGCGATTTCACCATGAAGACAGCATTCTATTTTAGGCATTTTGCTATTCGGTACAAATAAAAGCATACGATAAAGACCGATTCCTTTAAACATAAAGACCGATTCGTTTATGGACCAAACAAATTGAAGCGCAAACGGTTATCAGAGCCTAATGCATAAATATATTGAAAAGGCAAGACGTGAAAAATGGAGTGAAGTACGGGTTAAAAATAGATGAAATAATCGAGTGGGAATGACTACAGCAATGTAATGAAAGTTAAACGGTCAAATGATTGGTTTCCTCAGTTATTCGATGAATAATGCGAATATAAAGGTAACAGTTCAGCTTAATACTAGAACAGGACTAATTAGCATCCACCTTTTCGGCTCTTTCATGCCAGCATTAACCAGCAAAATTTCGAGCAACTTAACAAACGGACGCGTTATTGGTTTCAATAGATCTCCATAGCTGCCTGGACGACCACACACATAGCCCTACTTCACACCTCCACAAGCGTGCGTCCACAAGCAAATCGACTGAGCGGTATGTAGAAAGCATGCCACATTGGAGAGGAACCGCCACAAGACGACTCCGATACTGCTACCGCAGTTGCTATCAAAGATGAATGATGGTTTATTGCAGTGGAGCTGAAAATACCGCATCCAGCTTAAACGGTAAAGTTATGTAGGGTGATAGCAGAGTGAAATCAGTCGTTCTTTGGAAAGAATATCAGATCGTTACGAATATCGATAAATGCTTTCGATGAAACATACTCATTCTCCGCTGGAAATTTCCGTAATAGCACATCCATAAATTGATTCAACTCAGCTCTTCTCAAACAAAAATAGTCATTGCGTTAAATACGTGTATACAGTTACGCAAGGATTGTTTCTTTGGTATGTTAATACGTGGAAGCGCAGATCAAAACGATTTTCTCACGACAAAGTGGCGGGGGTCAGCAAATCCCTTTTTTTTTCAAACTTTTCCAGATATCAACATACTTTCTGTTCAGTACCTTGGAAGTTTTGAGAAATTTTTGCGTTCTTTTCTTTACTGAATTCACTTCCTTGAAAAGAGCCCACTCATCAACGAAACTTGCGAGAATTAAATGNGCAAGGGTGTATCTATGGAAATGTGAATGATAGTTCTTTGAATTCATAAGCGCTAATGAATCAATCGTATGTAGGTTAAACAAAAATTTTCGAGCTGAAGCTAAAGCGATTCATGTGTTGCATAAGTGTATACACGTTTCAATGTAAATGTCTGAATCTCATAACTGCCTGAGATTTAGAATCATCATCTTATTCAACCGAATTAATTCAGTCAGTTTCCCATTCATCATGACAACCAACCAACAAGCCGAGGTGCGATTCATTAAACAAAAATTTAATTAGATCGATCGTTACCAAGGTAACGATAACAAGCCACACTCAGTGTAAGTCTCTAACACTTTATATTCGACAACGATTCAATTAGCACTTATGCTAGTAATATGAATGGATAATAGTAACACAAATAATCAACATATCATATCAATTGTGCATGAATGCAATTAAACATATAATATTCAGTCTGTGTTCGTTCATTATTAAAGTTATTATTTACTAAACGATAGCTGCAACAACGAATCCAGCATCATCATTATCCTGTATCTAAGTCACACATTTCTTAATCACTCTCCGCCTATTTGGGTTAACGACACGCCTCATCAGAAATTAATCTGATACAAGATCAGCAGCAGCAGAATTACAATCGTAGAGGAATGAGTTTCTCTCATAACTCAAGCAAGTAACTGATATGCTTGATTACCTCACCGCTAACATTCCTTCAGTGTCATTCTACGATTAATGAAAATTTTTAAATTCACCATCATCTATCGATTATTCATTTTATTATTTTTTTGTAGCATATGTCAGATTCATTAAAAACTGTGTCAAAATGAAAAGTGAGTATTTGTGTTATATGTATGCAATCCATAGAACACGGTTAGAGTGAATAACAACAACAACAACGATTAGTGCTTCGATTCTTTATTATCATTCGTTAGACAACGATGCTTTTTAAGCGTTAATCACTTTCATTTGATATGTTTTCTCAAAGTGGAAATTCATTGCTGCATCTTATTCAATACTGTCATTAATGATATTTGATTTGCCTCGAATAAATAATCTCTTAGATACATACCTGATTGCATATTTCGAATTTTTTAGAGTGCTTGTTGAACCAATAATTGCGGTGCAACAAACGAACGACATGAAAATCTGTGATGCGTATCTTGCAGTCATCACTTAAAAACATTTATGAGTTCATAAATTAATAACATTTGAATGAAAGAGCCTGTCATAAACTGTTATAGTTTTCATGGGCAAATTTGGAAGTAATTGAAGGTTGCAGCTTTCAATGTGTGAGCGTCAATGATATCGCAGTGTTGATCTTCATCGGATCAAATACTTAGATTGCCGCATCTGAACAATATTCTCAACTATATGCATCATACAAATACGATTACAACTGTCGAATGAAAGATTTTCGCCCTAAAATGTGCATATTTTTGTGCTAGCTGAGATTATCTGCTACAAAGGTATCCTAAAAATCGTAATATCACAGATAAAACTCAAGTATATTTGTAGCCGGAATGTGGCACCTTAAAATTAATAATAATGATGCTAAGACAGTGTATCAGTAGGTAATGTGATTGTAGGCACGAATCATTTCAAAAATGTTAGTTCTTCAAGGTGGTAAAAGTTAAATTTTAGCGAGGAGTTAGAACTAAGCGATAGTTGTTACTTATTGTAGTAATCGGACATGGTTGCTTTGGAGATTTAAACGATTTCTATGAGCATATATGCGCATTTACAGACATCTGTCTCGTGTATATCGCGTTAGAATAAGTTCGCATATTATAACAAAAAAGAACTTTAATTGAAGTGGTAAATGAGTTGATTATCCGCTTAATCGTCATCTCTTTTCAAATATTTTCAGTTGAGAATCGAGGAAAATAAGAATAATGGAAAGATTATTGGGATGAAATAACGATTTTAAACGTTCTTAGCATATATAATAAAAGTTAACAATATTAGATGATTAGAATGTGATAGTGAGAAATGATTCAAATAAATTACTGATATTCTACGGTACTTCATTGAAGTTATTTTCGATGAATTCTTCAAACAATTCCTGCAAATTAATACTAATATTTTAATGAACTTTCACTTCTTTCCTGATTCTTCTAATACGCTTCAATTCCTTGAAACATTCACTCATATGCTATTATAACATCTGACAGTTTTTTGTTTCATTTATTCGTAATGTCTCTTCGTCATAGCGATAGCTTCTGCTACTGTGTTTGAATAGCGCTTCAGCGAACTACTTCCGCTATCTGTTCATGTGCAAGTGAATGCATTTAATGCAACATTAGGGTATGAGAATACATATTTGTTCTGACATCGAAACCACCGTACTTGTAACAGTTAGAAGTTGAGTATTCAATCATACCTCTAGTATTCCGTCTGAGGTGTTTGGCTTCAAATAGGTTTGGTGGCAGTGCAACGAGGTTTTTTTCAAATTTGTTCTCGAGATTCTGGTATTTATTCGGAGAATAATATTTGCAACTATGTTCGGTACGGATGATTACAGTTTGGCGAGTACACTCACCCAACTGGTGTTGGGGAGAGGAGAACGGTTAGAAAAAAAGAGAAAAAAATCAAAATATACACGCTACTGAATCAATAAAATGGAAATGATTAAAACTAAGGGGGTGAAGCAACTTCTTCTTTCAATTTTTCTACTTCTTCTTGGCAATTATAATGGTTAACGAGATTTTATCAAGGATATGAATCCGAATTCATTTGGTGGAATAGATCGGAGTCTGTCTTTAAACATCTGCAGCAATTTTGAGGAGACAGTAAGTGGAGAGAGTAGATTCCAGACTCTAAGAATTCTGTAGGCGAACAAGAGTTTTGTAGCGTTCAATCTGTAACGTTTAACTGCGAGTTTAAGGGAATTATTTGGGCGTATTCGCTCATTGCTTGAGGAAATTCGAAAGATTCTTCCATTTGGAGATCAACCTGACGTTGTGGTCTGTTCAAAGATCAATATAAAATTTTCATATTCTTAAGTTTCGAATTCTAATACTGATAATCTCTCATAGTATTCGGATACCTTATTGAAGCTCCCACATTGTCTGTTCAAGATGAAAAGTGTGTACCTTCTGAAACATTTTCAACGACATTAACGTAGTATTTATTACCGTATTGATCAGGGAAAGACCAAACGGAAGAGATATATTCTAGGATGGGCCAATCTAGGCTACGTACTTTGGTTTGTAGGGATAAGGTAATTAAGCTGAACGTTCTCAATGTGAGTGATGCTCTGACGTTAGCTTTTTCAACTATATTGGAAAGATGATGATAAAATTTCAAACTTCGTTTGTTTATGACGCCTTGGTATTGAATGAATGGGGAAGGAGCGAATTTTTGGTTCTGCATATTTAGAGGGCTATTAGGATTGCTCTTACCAATTCAAATCACTTTCGTCTGTTTTGGAGCTAACAGTAAAAGGCGATTTGATGATGATTGTTCTATGAAATTAAATGTGGTTTGTAAATTGTTGGAGAACATGAACAGATAAATGAGTGGTACAATTGCAAATTTTGAGGAAAGATTTGAAAGTAGCGATTAACGATAGCGACAGATAGTAATTAGCGAACTAATTTTGCGGATTAACAGTTCAGCGATAGCGTTTCGCTACTGTTTTGATGGTAATAGTGACAACGCGTTTTTTTTTTCAGTGGATCAGCGACAGTGGAGCTAGTGTTTTTCAGTAGTATGCCCAAACACCTTCTCTTGATGGATGCGTGGAATAGCGCCAAAGCCAGATCATCTTCAAGTTCTGAACATGGCTTCCCTTTCATCTGAATACATTGCCTACAGATGAATAATATTAGTTTCATCTGAATAATTATTCAATCGACTCCACAATCTATTTCTTATATTTGTTACATACGGAGATATTCATTCGTACGATATTCATCGTCAAGCACGGCGTGCACACCACCACACCGTCACATCGAGTACACCACTCTAAATACATGAAAGACGCATCAAACAATGTACCATTACGTTGCTTAGCGATAAGAACAAACGTTCACTATCTTCCTCATAATACAGTACTGCGAAGACAATGTTCCGTACTAATTTTATCATGAGGTAGTGATTAGTAATTTCACTATATA